ATGCTGAGCTGGTGGTGACCCGTTGGGGAAATGTGTTAGCTGAATTTTGGGACTAATGAAATCTGTACAGAAGGTGTCTGAAATCTTGAATGGAAGAGTTTCCCAGGAATTAAACCAGCTGTGATGTCAATGCAAGTAACTACTGAAGGGCGTATAGCTGGAATCTCTCTTTTATTATTTTAAGCAGTATGTGAGGGAGGTGACGAAAAATAAGAAAAATCAGAAAGAGAGGAGTGCCTTCATTGGAGAAAGGTAAACCCTGTGCATAAGAGTGTCCAAAAGGAAAAGAAGCCCCCAAACAAAACAGGCATTTCTCTGTACCCAGAGCAGAAACACCAGAATCGCGTAGGAATGGCAAACTGAGTGGAGTTGGTGTTCAAGTAAAGAAGTAGATGTATGTTAGGGAAGCCCATTTACATTGAACTTGTGGTAAAAGTCACCAAATAACACCTGCACAGGACAACAACAATGTCTCATCTGGAGGTACAGGTGTTTCTCAGGTTTCTAAACAGCACAGTATCGCTTTGGTTGTCTGTTGCTGCTTTTTTTTTTCTCCCTGAGCACAGTTGCAAGCAAGAGCAAATCTTAATACTCTGAGAAACCACTGTAGCTAACGATAATTTGTGATTGGTTTTCCAGAGGAAGCTATTGCAAGGAGAGTATTTGTGTATTTGCACTGATTCTTTGGTTGCCTGGTAAGAGAGTCGTGTTCATGCATAAATTAAGATAAAGGCAACCAAAAGTTTAGATTCTGTCTGAGGCTGGCCCTCAAATGAGAAATTCCTATCTTTGGTTTTAACGTCTGTGTGACTGAGGAGTGAAAGTAATTTTAACAGCTTTTTTCATTCATATAGATAGCCAATAAATGCAAAACGCATGCGGAAACATTTGAGACTGATAGTTCTTGATTTTTAAAAATTGTTCAGTGTGGACTTTGACTCCCTTTCAGCTGATGCAGTATTATTTAACTAATTTCATTGATGCAGAACAGGAATGACAGACTGTACTGCTGATGACTCTGGGGAAGAGCCTCAAAAGACTGACTAAAAAGTTTGATGATACTCATGGGAATTGCTTAACTTCCTGGACGTACATTACATAATGTTCAGCTTCATTTCCTTCACTTAAAGTATATTTGTGAATAGGCTAGAGTCAATTTAAAAAATGCTCTCTGTACTGCTGCAAAAACAGAGTGCCCTCGACTCTTACGCGAAGAGATGCTGAGAACATGCTGCACCATAATAAGTGCTCAGCTGTTCGTTGGATCAAGACCTGCTGCATGAAGAGGCATGAGGAAGCATAAAACCAAAAGCAATATAGCCTAAAGTAAGGCAGAATCAGGGAAGCAGTAGCTCTTATGACTAGAATGGTAATTAAGAGCTGGATTCCCACTTGTCAGTAGTGTATGCTTGTACCAGAAGTGCAGGAGGAATTGAACGGAAGAATTTACCCCAGACATCTCAGATCAGATGGATAAGATCAGACTATTGTCACATTGGCTGGCAAGGCTTGATCTAATTTCTGTTCTGTTTTACAGCCTTCTCCCTGCTGACCATCTCCCACAGTTCTTCAGTTTGCTTTAAAACGCCTTCCCTTACTCTTATTCGTACATTGTGAGAAAGTTATATTTGTGAAAATATCTTCAGAGAGCACTGCCAGCAAAGGAGCTGGTCATGTCCTTTGCCTGTTCCTGGGTACTCATTTCCCCCTCCCTGCCTCTCTTCCTTTTCCCTGGATGTGTGTCTGGGGAACTTCACTGTGAACTCTCTTAGAAAACCTCTCTGGATTAAAAGTGATGTGGAAGGGGAAGCAGGGGGGAAATCTAAATTGTTTGGCTTTT